AAATATTTAATGTTGGAGAAACGAAGGAACATCCCGCTAAAAGATCCCTTCCCGACTTAGATCCGTCGGTGAAAAAGTACGTGCAGTTAGGAAATTTGCGGTTAGTTAGATCTTTAAATAAATTTGAGGGATTAGGAGAGTTTTTGAGTGATTGTCCCAAATCGAAACAGATTTGGGGAGTGAATATATGATCGTCATAGAGGAATTTAAAGTAAGGATCGATGTCATTACTTCTGATGAGTTCGCTGTAATTTTTCGCTTTTTCAAAAGCAATTAAGAGAGGATAATTATATTTAACATTTGAGTTATGAATGAGTCGCAAGAGTTCTGAGAGTCTGGCCGGCAAAGGATGGCTTGAGTTTGAGAAAATTTTTAGAAGATATTTTTTTGCAAGGAAGTTAAATTTGGTTCTTAAAGGAGGTATACAACATTCAGCTAACATTACATTAATAGGGGTGCTATTCCTGTAGCCTACGGCTAGTCGGAGAGCTTGGTTACGAATTTTTTCAAGTCTAGAGAAATTTGTATGAGATTTAAAGTTATAGGAAGCAGATTCATAATAGAAACCGCTTCCAATTAGAGAGTCAAAAATTTGAAGTAAAAGTTTAGGGTCTGATCCCCACCATGTGCCTCTAAGAACTTTTAAGGAGGTTAGTTCAAAATCATGAATCATAGAGATTCGTTTGAAATTTGCAGCAAAATTAAATGACATATTAATGCATATTATTGTTAAATCTGAGCCAATTTGACCGTATAGTTTTCGAGATATTGACGGCCAAAGTTCACTATTTTTCTCAGTATTTAGCATTGAGCTAATGGCCGCAAAAAAAATGAAAAAAAAATAACAACTTGGTTAATAACTTTTGACACAGCGGAGAGATTCAACTCAAAATTAGAGCAAAATTAATTCAATGTTTAAGGAACATAATACTTCAAAGAGAACGAAATCGACCGTTTAGTTGCAGAGTATTATTTATCCAAAACTTAAAGTTACTTGTAATTTTTTTTTTGACGTGAGTGACGCGGAGTGCGTGGCAACATCGCAACTGTTGAGAGCGGTGGGAGAAGCGGAGTAGCGCGGTAATTCAAATAAAGCTGAGTACTGAAAAATACACTATTTCAAAAAGTGAACAAAAAACAATTTATTAAATTGTCAAACTAAAGAAAAACTATTCTCCATGACGAAAGTCAACCAAAACTGACCAAAACAACACTAATTCGCATGCGCTCGCATCAGCTGTTCATGCCATGTTGCCAGATCTCTAACTGCAAAGCACTACGTTCTTCAAAATATTACTGTTTTTTCTTAAAATTTTAATTATTTACAGATTTTTACATAATAATGTACACAACATTATTTTAAAAAATGATCTTTTAATTTACATATAAAAATTTATTTCATATTTGAACATTTAAAAAAAAAATTGTTATTTTGACTACCGTCGTGAACCTATCCTCCTTAAGACATTTAAAATTTTTCGGCTTTTATCGCATAAGTAGTTAAAATGGGAATCAGATGAGCCAGATTGGTGAAATTTGATACCGAGGTACGTGGCTGAAGGGGAAGGTTTGATAATAATATTGTTTAATGATAAGGAAAGGGAGGGTTCATCAAGATCTAGTTTTTTATTGCTAAATATAATTAATTCCGTTTTTTCCGGGCAGACTTCCAGACCTCTATCTGCAAGAAACGTAGAGAGAGAATTTAAACTATTTTGAAGAGAGGAGATTACTATATTTAAATCATGGGAACGACAAGTAACCGTTAAGTCGTCTGCAAATTCGAACAAAATGCAATCCGCTGGGATACATGAGTGAAGATCTTTTGTATAAACAGCAAAGTTGATAGGACTCAGTATACTTCCCTGAGGTAGTCCAATAGTACTTATTCTAGGGCCAATTATTTCGCCATTGATTTTATTAAACATGTTTTTACATTTGATAGAGCTATATATAAAATGGACTATGTTCTCAGGGATGCCTACAGAACGAAGATCCTCAATCAGTATATTAGGGACTACACTTGGGAAAGCACCCTTCAGGTCGAGGAAGAGAGCACCGGTAAACTCCCGCCTCGCCAGTCCGGTCCATACTTCTGTTGAGATTAGTGCAAGATTATCGGTACAGGATTTTCCTTTTCTAAAACCAAACTGAAATGGACTAAGAATTTGGTTACGCTCAATGAACCAGGTTAATCTATTGTAAATAAGTTTTTCTGTAAGTTTGAAGAGACATGAAGCTAAAGAAATGGGACGAAATTTTCCAGGTGTAGATTTTGGAATGAAAAAATAAGAAAATTATTCCAAGTGGGAGGGTAAACGATGTTAAGAATAATTCGATTAAGAATTGATAGAAGAGCGGCAATGGCTTCTTCTGGAAAGTGTTTTATGATGTTGTAGTCTATTTTGTCGAGTCCTGGTGATGACTTTGTTTTGCATGAATTGATAGCTATTGAAAGTTTTTCGGAAGAAAATGGAGCTTCCAAAAAAGGGTTAGGATTAAAGATATTAGAGAAATTCTCATTAAATTCTGTAGGAGGGTACATTTCGTTGACCAAGGAGTGGAGTTTATTCACAACTTCTTTGTCAGCTGAACATGAAGCCATTGGTGGTTGGGTAAAGCGATGCTTGAAGCCCTTGATAACAGCCTAAACTTTTTTTATTGGGGTATGCCGGTCTAAGGAATTACAAAATTTTTTGAAAGATTCGCGTTTAGCTTCATTAACTGTACGTTTAACAATTGCTTCGGATTTTTTAACCCCTTGACTGTGAATGACGTGTATACACGTCATGAAAAAAACTGGCCCAAACAGTGGATGACGTGTATACACGTCATGGCCCAAACAAGAAAAAATCTTAACGTATATTCGCAAAAATTCTTACTCGGGGGTTTTTGAGGACGCTGATCACAATTCTGAAGTCAGATTTTCAAAATACATAATTTTTCATCCAAAATGGCCGCCAAAAATTTTGAAAAATTTCAAAAGTGAAAAAATTCTTTTAAAAATTTTAATTAAGGAAGATTTCGACTATATCAGCAATTAGTGACATCTATTAGACGTCAATTGAACTCTTTGGTTTAGAGTCAGGTGTTATTCTTAAGATAATTATCCCGATATGGTTGTCGGTAAATAATTATATTTTTGAATTTAATTTTTGATCTGAAAAAATAAGCTGCGTGAACGACTGCACTGTGCATCTGTGAGGACTCGAACCCCAGTTAATAGCTGCCTTTCGCGGGACTAACGCCTACCAATGCACCATGCCAACACAGCCTGGACGTTCTTTTAAAAATTCTTACTCAGTGGTTTTTGGGGTCGCTGATCACGATTCTGAAGTCAAATTTTAAAAAAAATAATTTTTTATCCAAAATGTCCGCCAAAAATTTTGAAAAATTTTAAAAGTGGATAAGTTCTTTTAAAAATTTTTACTCAGGCAGGGTGGCTGCAAGTCAGGGAAAAACTGGAAATCAGGGAAAAGTCAGGGAGTTTTGATCGAAAAAAACCCCCCAATAACAAATTTTAAGCGTATCCAATGATTTTTTCCAAATCGTGACCGCTATTTTGGATCCGCCATTTTGAATTTTAAAAAACTAATGTCAGATTTGTAATCAGCAACCACGAAAACCCCCGAGTAACATATTTTAAGTGAATCCAATGAACTTTTCAAAATCGTGTCCGCCATTTTGGATCCGCCATTTTGAATTTTAAAAAACTAATATCATATTCGTAATCAGCGACCACGAAAACCCCCGAGTAACGGATTTTAACCGAATCCAATGAATTTTTCAAAATCGTGTCCGTCATATTGGATCCGCCATTTTGAATTTTTGAAAACTAACACCGGAATCGTAATCAGCGATCCCAAAAACCCCTTAGTACCTAGTGTCATAAAAATTTATTCACAAGAAGGTCTTACACATTTTTGGACCATTTTGTTATATTTTAGCTACACACTGAAGAGGTTAAAGTCAAGAAAGTTTTGATAGTTAGAGTCTTTCTTATATTTTCTTAAAGCCAGTTTGCGTTTTTCAATTGCTTCCTCGCATTTACCGTTCCATCACGGGGCTGGTACAAATGATTTTTTGGGTGGATTGTTGGCCCGAAAAGAGTGTTGTGTTTCTACACAAACACATTTCGTTGAAGGCAAGCAAAGTTAATCGAGTCGTCGAAAAGTTCCGTAAAGTGATTGTAGTCAGTTATTGGGTCGTCAGTGTTAAGGAGTTCAGTGTTGGATTGAATTGATAAACTTAATTTTTCTGAAAAAAGTTGCCATTTAATTGATCTAAGGTTGTATTTATGAGAGGAAAAATTTGATGTGGGTATGGAGATACCTAAGGATGTGAAAATGGGAAAGTGATCACTGCCTAACAAGTCATCATGAATTGTCCAGGAAGATATTGTGTAAAGATTTGAGGAGACAAATGTGAGGTCTAAAGGGGAACCAGGACTCGTTGGGCGACCGAGATGAGTCGGAGAACCGTTGTTTAAGAGAATGAGGTCTGAGGTATCTAATTGATCGCATACGTTATGTCCGTTGGAGCAGGTTTGAAGGCTGCCCCATAGGGTACTGTGACTATTGAAGTCACCGCCCACGAAGACAGTCCTGAAACCAGAGTTTTTAATGGAGTTAAAAAAAAGTTTCCAATGATTAGTTGGTGTTTGTTTTCCCGGAACTCTGTAGACAGAGACTATTAAGAGTTCACCCAGGCAGGAGTCGATCGAAACCGCTAGTGTTTCGAACACATCCTCCTGAGAGAAGATTGTTTGTATTTTTTTGAAAGTTAAATTTTTACGAATGGCGATAGCGAGTCCACCACCCTTATTTACGGTACGATCTACTCTAATAATATTAAAAATTTTTTAAATGTGAAGATTATCGCGTTTGTCTGGTTTTTGGAATGTTTCGCAGAGAAGAAGTATATCGAATTTACTTGATAGTTGGAGAATTTCGCGTGTCTTGTTTAAGACGCCACGACAATTCCATTGAAGAATATTTAAGTTAGGGAGATTGGCCATTGTTGTTATTCTTGGTTGTGGAGTTTAGTAGAAGAAGAAGATTTTCTGTGACAGTTATGAGGAGTGCTTTGTTTTGTTTAACAGTGTCAGGGGTGCAGTTGGAGGAGATGTTGGTAACATGGTTATTTAACCAGGAGATGAATGAGGCAAAGGAGAAAGATGTGTCGGATTCTAGAGAAAGGGAAGGTGAGGTACTGTGTTGTGTAGATGAAGAGTCAAGTGCAGAATTGGCCAAAGCAAAACCATTTGGTAAAAGGTTTTGTGATCTGCTGTTGTTAAAGTTGGTCGCAAAGAATGATGACGCTATGTTTTTCGTATTTTTGGAGTGTTTGTTATCTTTTGATAATGTAAATTGTGCATGCGTTTTATGGGAGGTCGCGTGAGCGAATGAACGTCTGTTCGAGCTGGAATCATCAAGTAAGATTGAAGCAGGTGTTGTTGGGCAATCTCCTAGATCGGGAAAGTTGGAAAAGTTGAAGGTGTTGGAGAGATTTGAGCTTTTCCTTGGTCTAATGATTTCTTTTGCCTCTTCAAAGGACGTTTTGTGGGTCGTCGCATAATACCGAATTTCTTTTTGAAAAATGTATTCCGGGCATTGTTTCGAGGAATTTCTGTGTGAACCATTACAATTCACGCATTTTGGAGGACCGGAAGCGTGTGTACACAAGCTTGAGTCGTCGTGAGGAGTTGTGCTACCACATTGTTTGCATCTCGGTTTAGACTTACAATGTTTGGCAATGTGTCCAAAACGGAAGCAATTGAGACACATGTGAGGGTCTGGGATGTACGGACGGACCAAGCTCGAGCCCTAGAAAATTGCGATGCGTTCTGGCAGGGTGGTACCCTGAAACGTCAGAAGGACGGTTGTGAAAGGTTCATACGAAATTACATTTTTTTTCATCGACTTTTTTACGGTTAAATCTTAGGGCGTTAATAATCTTGCACTCTTTGCTGCAATTACCAATAATTTCCGCGTTTTCCAATATCTCTTCGGTAGAGATGTCTAGACCGATGTTATTAATAATGCCTTGGCATGTCACGAAACTTGATGGAATTATGGCGATTAAGCCTTTCGATTTTAACGCAGGGTCTGACGCAATTTGATTTGCAGCTCTTCCGCTATTCATAACTACGCGAACCTTACCGCGACCGCTCGGATGAATTCCGACGATTTTTCCGGGATAGAATGTGTGAAGCATCTTACTGACAGATACATGATTCAAATCTTTAGACGCATCCGACGACTTAGGGTCGCGTTAAATAAAAACCGGACAGTTGTCTTTATTTGAATTTTCGTACTTTAAGGGTTTCGGCGTGTGACCTTCAGAATTCTGTTCTTTCGAGGGTATTACCTTTTCGTTATTTTTACCTTTTTCGCCATCGCACAAGCGTTTTGCAGCTGGATCCATTTCCAATGAAGACAATGAATTTTAACGCGATCTAGTATGTTTTTGATTATTCTGATAAAAAAGTAAATCTTTAGCGGCATTTTCTAAATCTGGATCATTCTGAAAATTGTTCGAGTCGCCAACATCCATGCGCGACATGTCCACTCTGCAAGCCTACGCGCAGCCCTGTGGCTGGCGTTAACCTAAGAAACCACTCAGAAAAGACGCGATGCCTGTGAAGCAGGCGGAATAAACACTATTTCGATTCTAAAGAGAGATCTCAGGAATATAGCTGAGATCTATGAAAGCACTTCTAAATATAAAAGCCCGGAAATACACAAGAAACTTTTTAAGAAAAAGAAACGCGTGCGTCCGATACCGTTGCTCAGACGGAAGTCCACCTTGGGTAGAAACGCGCAACGAACACTGCGCATGCTCTACAGAATTTTCAAGCGCAGTCAACTAATCTTTCACGTACTTTATAAAACTGAACAAATGACTTTTCGTTAAAATTTAAAAAACACTGTTGCCCATACTAGTACTAGAATAACTCTAGGACTTTTCTACATTTTCTAATAAAAAGTATATGGAACAGCCTTGTATTTTGTGTCCTATGCAAAAGTCAAGCACTTTCAAGGAAGGATTCACGTACTTTTTTTCCGTGTAGTTGGATGTGTTAACCAATTTATTGGATCGCGCTCCAGCAACTATTAAATTAGATACGGCAGCTTACTCTTTTTCTGAGTCTGGAAAATTTTAAGACCTGACAAACTTCCAGTGAAAAAGTTGATTATTAATATATAAAGAAGTTTTCTGTGAAGTTGCAGTAACATTGGATACATACCTTAAAAGTTATTAATGTTTAAAGTTGTAACGCATCCTGCCGTAGTACGTGCGTTTCGTGCTTATGTTGAGTGACATGCTATTCACTCGCACCGTATACAAATCAATATTTTTTTCTTTAACTTGAAAATGAAAACAAAACAAAATAAGTTTTTAAACACTTTTAATTACACTGATTATTTTTATATTACATAATATTAAGATTTTTGATTTTTAAGAATTATCAACAGGTTATGTTTATTTTTTATTTAACAGATTTTAGTCATCATCTTTCTTTTTTGTGTATTTCATTTTTCTGAAATAGTTATTTAAGGGGCACACCTAGTGTGAGTGACTGAAAAAAACGGTGATTTTTAGGAATTTTTTTCAGGGAAATTATTGCTTCTAATTTTTTTAAAAGTTTTGTACATGTATATTTGTATAAATAGTGAACATTTTGTAGTTTTTTTTAAAGAAAAATATCTTTTTTTTAAAAAGTTATTCGCTATCTCCTGAGTATCCGAAAAAAAGTTCTCCCACTGGTGCAGTGATTGCGGCCTTCTCAGTGACCTAAATCAAAAAAACCAAAAAGATTATTAAACTAGAAGATATTTGCCGTACAATGACCCTCGTATGTCAAAAAATATTGAATTGCAACAAAATGGCGGAGTTTTGAAAAAAGCTTTTAAATTTCGCCAAAAAAATCCGATGGCTTTTGGCATCCCAAAATTTTATTTTTCATCCAATCAAAAAACTGGAGCCTCATTGTACGGCAAATATCTTCTAGTTTAATAATCTTTTTGGTTTTTTTTATTTCAGTCACTCAGAAGGCCGCAATAACTGCAGCAGTGGGAAAACTAGTTTTTTTGGATATAGCGAATAACTCTTTTAAAAAAAGATATTTTTCTTTGAAAAAATTACAAAATGTTCACTATTTATACAAATATACATGTACAAAACTTTAAAAAAAATTAGATGCAATAATTTCCCTGAAAAAAATTCCTAAAAATCGACGTTTTTTTCAATCACTCACACTAGGTGTGCCCCTTAAAAACTTTTGTCCATTTGATGAAACGTATTCTTAATAAACTTTGCACGTCATCCTTTTTGGCTTTTTTAATACCAACTTTTGGTGAGGGAAATTGTTGTACATTTTCTAAATTTGTTTCCAATCTAATTTCGAAATGTGAAGGATTTTCCAGTTTATAATTATCATACATATATTTACAGTCGAATCAGGAGAATAGTTAATAACGCAGCCGTGTGTAATTTTAAGATTTTGTGGGACTGATACTTTGTTTTTAAAAATTTTATCAAAGTTGTACACAAAATTGTTTGCAGATTCTACCATCGTAAACGGTGGATCGCGAGAAGCTGCAATTAATTTGGCGTATTCTTCAGGTGTTTCAATTCTTTCCATACATGTTTTTCTTTGTGCAAAACAACCAAAATTCCGGTCACTGGAGCAAAAGAATGAGCGCGCACAGAAAAAAAGTGCCAGAATTCTACTTGAAGTTCGACAGACAGCGCTAATAAAATAGAAAAAATCGTGTAAATGCGATTTTGGCCTAGACAGGCGTTTGTACTTTGTAGAATTGTTCGAAAACTTGTATTTTTGGGAGTGGTAGATTCTGAGCATAATCAAACTCGCAACAAAAAATGTTAGGTTCCGACAAAAGTTTTTTTCTCATTTCATAATAATTTTTTACCTGTGATTTGTGAGAAGCTATTTCCCAAGCAAAAATTGACAACTGGCGCAGTACTGCACCAGTACTGGCATTTTACTGAAATGATAACGCTTTTCAGTACTCTCTAAATCTGAATAAGTGAAATTTTCACTTTTTTCATGTGTGAACCTTTTTCTCACTTATTAATAAGTAGAATCTACTTATACATAAGTGAAATATTTACTTTTTTATGTGTGAACTTGTCTTTACTTATCAATAAGTGAAATCCCCACTTATGTATAAGTGAAATATTTAGTTAAAAAGAAATTCATCTGCGCATTATATTACAATTTATTATTTATACCAACTTTTAAATGTTTAAAAACAATGTTTTTATCATTTTAGTTAATATATTAGAAATTTTTTATTCTATTTAATTATAAAAATTGTCATTTAAAATTTAATAAATTTTTTAAAAAATATTCAGTTAAATATTATATTAACAGTAATCTAATAACTAACTTTTTATTTACTAAGTATTTATATACATATATAATAAGAGAAATCTTAAACAAAACGTTAAAGTATACGGAAAAAAAAGTACAACTGAAATGGAGAAATTTTTCGCCATAACAGCTAAACATTTCGTCAAAAACGAGCGAGCGATATTGGCATTATCGCTAGAATAGCGATATTGAATTTTACTTGAAAGACAACCTAACTCTAAAATGATATTTAATTTTTTTCAATTGTATGTTTCAAATTATAACCATATGAAAGTAAATTATTGAAATTAATACTGTTTTAAAACTAAAAAAACACAAAACTGATATTTATGCTGTCAAAAAAATTTCTTGGTAGGAGCCGTAGGAGCGGCAGGTTTCCATATAGTTCCAATATGGCTGACGAATTGCACTCAACCAAAGCTCACTATCACTGAATTGGCTAAACTTTCGGCTAATGTAGTTAAGCTTAATTCCAAACGTGGGTTATGTTGTTCTTCATTTTAATTATATTCCCAATATTGCTCGTTCGCGTCATGAAATTTTTTTCCGTGTAGAACACAATAAACTAACTCTTTATAAGTATCACCCAATAATTTTCTATGAGTATAAGGCAACTTATTAAGTGGCATTGTAGTGTTTCTCGTTGATCATCAAAGTTAAGCGACATTGCTTGCAGTTAATATTAGGATGGGTGACCGTTTGGGAATTTAGCTTAAAAAAGTTGAAAAATTGATATGTTTATAAGTTTCAGACTGATAATGAGAAGAGAAGAGAGTGTTAAATAGTTGATAGTAAATAAATATTTTTTTTATATAATATTGATCCTGATTATTTATTTACATTCACTTCTTAATGTCTGAGTATTCACTTATCTCATAATTGAATATTCACTTATTCATAAGTGAATGTAATTCACTTATTCATAAGTGAATATAATTCACTTATTTCATGTGTGAATATTCACTTATTCTACGTGGAAGAGTTTTGAAACATGGAATAAGTGAATATTCACTTAAAATAAGTGAAATTTCACTTATTCAGATTTAGAGAGTACTGGTTTGATGTTACAGGCGCAGTACTGGTTCAGTACTGGTGTAGTACCCGTGTAGAAAAATCTTTTGGCGCTGGCCTGAATCAGACCAGACCATCTATTTTCCAATCTAGTAAAAAATTTATTTAAATTCAATGTTAATATAATAAAAAAAATTAATTTATATTTGCAAACATGTAATAATCCCCAACTTTTAACTTTTGATCAAATTAATGTTTACAACGCAGAATAAACGCAAACCTATAACGAAATAAAATTTGACACTGCGAGGAATCGAACCTACGACCTACGAACTTCTAGCCTAACACTCTAACCACTACCCTACCGAAGCTACA